GTCCGGACCGACTCCAAAAAGTCCAAGAAAATAATTTTATCGAATATGACGATACCGATGAGACCGTGTTTCTACACGAGACCGTATTTTTGAATGAGGAGAAGGTGATACCGTCTCGGTATGACTCACGAGACAACGATGTATGGTATTTAGACAACGGGGCGAGTAACAATATGACGGGAAATCGGTCGTTTTTCTCCGAACTTGATGAAGGTATAACTGGGAGGGTTAAATTCAGTGATAATTCATGTGTAGGAATTAATGGGAAAGGTTCTATCCTTTTCCAAGGAAAGTCGGGGCAACAACGATTGATGACGAAGATTTATTTCATACCAGATTTGAAGAATAATATAATTAGTCTCAGACAAGCAACCGAAGCCGGGTGTGACATCCGGATGAAAGACAATTACTTGAGGATGTATGATGCTAATAATTGCATATTAATGAAAGTACAAAGAACTCCAAATCGTCTTTATAAAATAAAATTGAAATCAGAGCACCTATTTTCCTTCATTCGAGACTAAGTGAAGATACGTGGCGATGGCATGCAAGACTTGGGCACATCAATTTCGAGTCAATGAAAAAGATGTCCAAGAAGGGTCTAGTCAAAGGGCTACTCCAATTTGATCATGAGAATCAATTGTGTGAACCTTTCTTGGTGGTCAAGCAAACAAGAAAGTCATTCCCGACTATGACGACATATAAAGCAAAACGACCATTGGAACTAGTTCACGGTGATTTATGCGGTCCAATCACGCTGGCAACCAATGGTAAAAATCGATATGTCTTCACACTAATTGATGATTTTTCACGCTTTATGTGGATTTATCTCATGAAGGAGAAAAGTGAAGCGTTTACACACTTCAAAAGGTTCAAAGCTTTGGTGGAGAATGAAATCGGAAAGTCTTTGAAAGTGTTTAGATGTGATCGAGGATGAGAGTTTACTTCTCTCGATTTTAATACATATTGTGATCAAAACGGAGTCAAACACCATCTTACCGCCCCATATTCACCGCAACGGAATTATGGAACGAAAAAAACAGACACTTATGGCTATGGCACGAAGCATAATGAAGGCAATGCATGTTCCAAACTACTTATAGGGAGAAGCGGTAAATCACTCTACAAATCTAATCAATCGCGTTTACACAAGAGTCCTTGGTGATACAACTCCATACGAAAAGTTATATAAAAGAAAACCGAATTTAGAAAATGTTCGTATATTTGGTGTCTAGCACATGTAAAAGTTGAACCGGTAAATTTGAAGAAGTTGGATGCAACATCAAGACCACTAGTGCATGTTGGCTCCGGACCGGGAACAAAAGCTTATCGCTTATTTAACTCAGCGCCAAAAAAAATAATTGTGATTCCAGACGTTATTTTTGATGAAACCAAAGGGTGGGATTGGATTAAAGAAGCAGGAACCAACAATAAAGAACCGGACTCATTCATAATACCATGGGACTACCCAGAAGACGAGACGAGCAACAATCAAGGAAATGATGTAAGCAACGATCCAATTGAACCGATTGAATCAGATCATGAGATTGGAGACGGAGCGGAAGTACAAGATAATGAACAACCAAGTTCGGTCAATAATAATGTTCAACAATGAGCTGCAAACCAGAGACCCTCGATAACAAGAGTACCTCCAAGATGATTTCAAGATTATGAGCTTGATCTTGATAATTTCGAAGAACTTCTCCTAACAACCAATGACGAGCCGGTATCGGTTGAAGAGGCGAAGAGAGAACGGGAGTAGGTCAAAGCCATGAATGCGAAAATAAATTTGATAAAAAAGAATACTACTTGGACTCTTGTGAACAAACCTTTGGGGGTGAAGCCAATTGGACTCGAGTGGGTGTTCAAATTGAAGAAAAATGCAGACGACACCATTAATAAATACAAGGCAAGGTTGGTTGCTAAAGGTTATGTGCAACAACCTAATATTGATTTTCATGAAGTATTTGCTCCGGTAGCTCGAATCGAAACCATCCGATTTCTTATAGCCTTAGCTGCTACTCATGGATGGGAACTTCACCTACATGTTAAAACGACATTCTTACATGGAGAATTGAAGGAATCCATTTACGTATCGCAACCAGAAGGCTATATAAAGAAAGGCAACGAGCATAAGGTGTATCGCCTTACAAAAGCACTATATGGCCTAAGACAAGCACCTCGAGCATGGAACACGAAGCTTGACGGGATTTTGAAGAGTATGAAATTTCAAAAGTGCATGAAAGAACCATCGGTGTACCAGAAAAGTGAAGGATCTAACTTGCTAATTTTAGCAATTTATGTTGATGCTTTATTTGTCATAGGTACAAATTTGAGCATGATCAAGAGGTTCAAATTTGAGATGTCCAAGAACTTTGAGATGTCAGATCTTGGGAGATTGAATTATTACCTTGGCATTGAAGTTAAGCAAGAGGAATCGAGGATTAATGTAAACCAAGAAGCGTATGCTCGACACATTCTAAAAGAAGCCGGTTTACATGATTGCAATCCGACCCATATTCCCATGGATCCGGGAAATAAATTGTCAAAGGACGAAGATGAACCCAAAATCGACCCAACACAATATCGAAAGGTGGTAAGATGCCTTAGATATCTCTTGCAAACAGGACCCGATATGGCATACATAGTTGGAGTTGTTAGTCGTTACATGCAAAGTCCAAGAGAATCACATGGGGGCGTAATCAAACACATTCTACGGTACTTACGAGGGACAACGGGATACGAAATCAAGTACGAGAGGATGTGACAAAACCGAATCATTGGTTATAGTGATAGTAGTCACAATGTTGACCTGGATGACGGAAAAAGCACAACCGGTTACATTTCTATTACGGGTCATCTCCGATAACATGGTGTTCGCAAAAGCAAGATACCGTTGCTTTATCATCTTACGAGGCGGAATTCATGGCGGCCACGACAATCGCATGTCAAGCAATATGTCTTCAAGATTTTCTAGGAGAAATCATGAACAAAGCGCAAGAGAAAGTGGTTCTTAGAGCTGATAACAAGTCGGCTATTAAACTAATGAAGAATCCTATTTTTCATGGAAGGAGTAAACACATTCACACGAGGTTTCACTTTATTTGTAATTATGTTGAGAACGAACAAGTGGAGGTGGAGTACATTCCCGGTGAGAAGCAAAAGGCGGAAATTCTCATGAAACCGTTGGCTCGTACCAAGTTCAAGGAGATGTGGAGCTTGATCGGGATCGAAGATGTATCTAGAAGGACTTAGAGATTTGGGGGTGATTGTTGGAATCCTAAGTCTTGGGGTCCAAGCAATCACAAATATGGAAACAAAGACAAGTTGTTTATAGTTTCCTAATTGTAATCTAGGGACAAGTCGGTTCTAGGTTCTATATATTCAATTTTGTATAGCCAAGTTAGGGTTATGAGAATTGTAAGGTTTTGAGTTATTTTCCTTTAATCAAAGAGTTTGTTTGATTAATCGTGTCTTAATTTGATCATGAAAATAGTCTATTCAAATCGATTAAGAACACACAAAAACACAATAAAAAAAACTGAATCGCAAACAAAATAGGGAATATGACTTATTAAGGTAATTAACTTTTCGGTTTGTTCACATATGGGTAACTATATTTTTTTATACCTATGTAGGTAACAAACTTGTTGGAAGTGTTCACATATGACCATTATGACCTGTTGTAGCAGGTTACATCCGGCTACAGTATGTCATAATGGTCATATGTGAACACTTTCAACAAGTTTGTTACATAAATGTGTACAAAAAAATAGTTATGAACAAAACGAAAAGTAAGAGTAAATTACACGAATGGTCCCTGTGGTTTGGGAGAATTTGTGTGTTTGACCCATAATATATTTTTTTTAACTCGGATGATCCCTACTGTTTATTTTTGTTCCGCGCTTGGTCCCTGTCTTACCTAAAAAGACTATTCTACCCTTTTTAATTTATTTTTTAATTAATTTTCTTATTTATTTATTTATTTTTTGTATATTTAAAAAAAATTAATAGACCCTACATACGTAAACCTGAAACCACATTTGAGAAATTTAATTTGGGTCTCACCGGCCACCATCCCATCTCTAATCCTCCTCAACTTCTATTTCTTTTTCATCTTTAGTGACATCGACGTCTTCATTATCCTTCTTTTTCTGGTCCTTCAACTCTGGCGAACCAACACCATAACCCATTGTCTCTTCATCTTTAGTGGGTTGTGGTGTTGATTCGATAGAGTTGAAGGACCGAAAAAAGAAGGGATGATGAAGACGTCGATATCACTAAAGATGGAAAAGAAATAGAAGTTAAGGATGATGAGAGATGGGGTGGTGAGGAGATACAAATATGTGAGGTCTATTAATTTTTTAAAAATATATAAAGAATAAATACATAAATAAAAAAATTAATTAAAAATATAAATTAATAAGGGCACAATGGTCTTTTTAGGTAAGACATGGACCAAGCGCGCAATAAAAATAAACACTAGAGATCATCCGAGTTAAAAAAATAAATTTGGGACCAAACACACAAATTCCCCCAAACCACAGGGACCATTCGTGCAATTTACTCTTACTTTTCGTTTTGTTCAGATTTGGATAACTATTTTTTTTTTGTACATATCTAGGTAACGAACTTGTTGAAAATGTTCACATATGACCATTATGACCTGCTTTAGCCGGATGTAACATGCTACAGCATATCATAATGGACATATGTGAACACTTCCAACAAGTTTTGTTACGTAGATGATACAAAAAAAGATAGTTACTCAGATGTGAACAAACCGAAAAGTTAATTACCTTGCTAAGTGATATTCCAAACAAAATACTGTATGAATTTAATTTAAAAAAAAAATGAAAAAAAAAAGACTATGGAGTTATGGACCTTTTACGTAATAATTTACTTTGAAATAAAGTTGAAATGTGGGTTTAGATTTGGGTTCAGATTCAGGGAAATAGGGTATTCCATCCCGCCCAATCGCTTTCATCAGTTCATGTACGATGTATCGGTTTGGTAATGATATGGGTTACAGCTTCAAATTCAAAAAAATTGCTCCACTCGTAAATTAGACGGATACCCTGTTTTTCCTTCCATTCCCAAAACCTCTTCGATCATTCATTCAATCTTCCATGGCTTCGTCTTCTGAATCTCAACCACGCTAACCCCCTCAAAACCCGCACAACCTCTCTTCTACGGTTACATAACGAAATTCAAATTCAATTTCCCAAAATCTTATTTCTTACGTTTAACTCTGTTTATCCAGTTCGATCTCAAAGGTACGCAATTTCTTTCAATTTCCCTAATCATTCATGCCACATCGTAACTAAAACGTGTTTTATGATGCTAAGATATTCATTCGTTTGGTTTCTTACAAGATTAATTGATTGTGTTAATAATATGAAGTCAATTTCTACGACTATTGATGTAGCCCTAGAAACAAGGGTTTCATTCTGATGTGAATTTCATGTTTCTTTTCAGTTTTATATCTGTTCCAATGGCATCGCTGGTCTCAACTTCAAAGGCCATTGGGCAGATGTTTAAGTGCAATAACGGAGGTAGACAGTTAATCAGATGCTTAAGGAACAATTCCAAAGTAGAAAATCGATGCTTCAGAAGCATTTCAAGAGTTGAAACATATCAATCAGTTGTTAATAGTCATGATCATGAAGTAGTATTGCCTTTTTCACATTTTAGTAGGAGTATTCAAAGGAGAGGATTTCTTGGCATTGGTGATGGAGATGAAGGGAATAAAAGTGGTTTATCAAAAGTTCATGAGGAGAATTGTATTATGGGGTAATAAATTAATAATCATATTCAGTTATTCACCCTTCTCCTATTTCTTATCTCCTACAATGGTGTAATTGGAAAGATTTTTTTATTGTTTTTGTTAGATATTCCCCAGAGCAATTGTATGCAGTTGTTGCTGCTGTTGACATGTATCAAGATTTTCTTCCATGGTGTAGAAGATCAGACATAGTGAAACGTCATTCTGATGGATCCATTGATGCTGAGCTGGAAATTGGTTTTAAGTTTCTTGTTGAAAGCTATGTCTCTCATGTCAAATTAATCAAACCCAAATTAATCAAGGTCATAAAATCACCTTTATAACTTATTTTACACAATTTTTTTTCTTTTCTTTTTTCACATAACCAAAACTCTTTTGTTTTATTGTATATTTTTTTTATAGACAACTGCATCAAAAAGTAGCGTTTTCCACCATTTAATAAACATTTGGGAGTTTAATCCAGGACCTGTTCCAGGGACTTGCAACCTTCATTTTGTTGTGGATTTTAAGTTCCAATCACCATTATATTCACAGGTAAGTAATTTTTCGTCTTTTAAAAAAAAAAAAATCTTTTATTATATTTTAATGAAAAAAATAAAAAGGTATTCCATTCCTTTCATTTTGTTAATTTTCATTACTTAGAGCACTTCCAATGACAGGTTTTTGACTTTTTTCAAAGATTAATAATATTACATTTTGCTATTTTTATTAACCACTTGAAAATGACTAGAGAAATATAAATATTTAAATTTAATTAAATAATTAAATAATGTATTAAGTTAAAAGAATATTATGTTTATTTTTATATAGGTAGCATCCATGTTCTTCAAGGAGGTGGTGTCGCGACTGGTGGGTTCGTTCAGTGATCGCTGCCGTTTAATTTATGGGCCAGGGGTTCCGGTTAATAAATCATAAATCATAAATTATAAATTAATAGTTATAATCATAATTATTCTATTTTGTGTACATGAATTAGTTTCACGACTTCTGTTTTTAAATTGATGTTTTATTGTTAGCGTTATTCTTAATAATTTATTTATTTGAATTTAAAAGAAAAGGCATGGTAAGTAAGTACCATACATTTATGAAAGTTATTAAGAAAATAATTTATAATAATGTCAAACTAAATTTATTTAAAAACATAGTATTAGGAAGCGTAGGGAAGAAGATTTGCAAATCCTTATGGTAGATTCCTTATACAATATACCTTGGTACAAAATTTGGATCAAACTCACACTTCCACCATTTACAATGATAATTTTGAAAGTAACACTCACTTGAATATGTAGGCGTTGTAAAATCTCTATTCTAATAAAAAAATAGTGTTAATATTCTTTTGATATGTGTCACTCAAATACAATTCCTCGTTAATATTAAGTCACATGTCAAGGAGATATATTAGACAACATTTAAAAATTCAAATTTATTTTTTCTAATTATATGTTAAATTTGAAATTATATTAACTTTAAATTTTCGATATATCTTTTAATTAATAATTTATTTAAAATAATTGATTAATAATTATGAATTTTTATTATGAAAGTTGAATTAATTTTATAACCATGGTTCCCACGGGTTATAAACTAGTAATCTATAATTTTATAGATTTATAAACAAGTAAACTACCCAATAACTTTGATGAAAGATTGCATTATTCTTTCTTAAGTGTCTTCTCCAATCTCCTCTCTGATGCCTCTATGTACATGCTTATAAATATTAGACAAAATTACACAAATGATCCTTAAAGTTTTTATTTTTTCTTTAAAATAATCCTTATAAAACATTTTTTTTCCGTGAACTATATTTTCTTTCTTTTATTTTATTATTAACTATGCAGATCATCAATCTTTATGACTAACAATATTAGTTTTTCTGTTAAATATAAATAAAAAGATTATATTTTCCTTCTTTTATTTCATTATTAACCGGTGTGGTCTCTCTATCTCTCTCTCCACACCCAACGTCTTCCCCATCCTATCTGTAACATGATACCCATTTCTTATTCTTATAACACATCTACAAGTTCAAAATGCATGTAATAAACATTTGTGCATTCAATCACACACACAGACACACACGCGCGCACACACACGCGCGCGCACATACACACACAGAGAGAGAGAGAGAGAGATTTGATTTGTTTTTAGGGTTTTACTTTATAACGAACAACCATCCTTACTCCACCATTTCTATCATCTTTCACCACACAACAAGAGAAACAAACAAAAACCCTTGCTCATCATCATTTTTCTTGGACTCAAAACTAAGAATCTAAATAAGCACGTGAAAAGATACATATTTACAGAGATCGTCACTCCTGTTTTTAGGAACTTCTGGTGACCTCAATCACACATGCGATTTATATCTCAATCACACTAATTATTTCACAAATGGATTGCTTAATTCTTGTTTCGTTGCTAAGACATACAAGACTTTCTTTTGAACACAAATTTGGATTTAATGCATCTCAAAATATCTCATCACATACCGAAGACAAATTTGGGTCTAATGCATCCATCGCATACGAAGCATGGCTATGACGATTTTGATTTGTATTTGTTTGGACGATATTGTGTCTAGTGCATCTAGCTACATATGACCTTTGTGGTTTTGATGGTCTTCATTTGTGTTTGCCATGTTTTGGGCAAAGAGGCCACTCATTTTTTTTTTCAATTTTATTTATAAAAATAAGCAATCAATTTGTAAAATAATTAGATAGATAAAAAGCGTAAAAAGGGATACAGATATTTATCGTATTACAGTTTGCAACAAAATCGAAGAACTGTTGATACGTTACCTTTCCTCATAGACATAACATGATTTTATTCCTTTATACAATCATTAATTCAAATTTTCATTCTTATCTTTGTAGACCACATCTTCCACAAAATAAGAATATATAAAATGACCAAAATGAATTAATAATAATAATAATATGTTATGGTTTACGAATTTTGAGCAGCAGCAGCAGGAGTAGAAGCAGGTGCTGTGTATTTCTCTATAGCCCCTTTAATCCGCTCCTTATCTCTCGTTGCAAATGCTTCCAATAATATTCCATTTTTATAAAAATGAAACAGAGGCACTGCCTGTATATTTATTACAAACTATAAATAAAATAAAAATGATGTTTAATAAAAAATAGGAAATACCTCACACTTTTTATACCTTAATTCGAAGTCTTTCTGCTATATCTGATTGTTCATCGTATTCATCAATCACCTGCATCATGAATTGAAATCATGTAAATGTAATCACTTTTTTAAACGCAATTCATTTTTGAAAAGAAAAAAAAAACATGACTCACATTATGTTTTAAGAAGATAACAGGGGCCTCTTCATCACCTAATCCTCTGCACAATTTTGCGAATCCTTGTTCTATATATTTGCAACTACCACATGAAGTTCGATAGAAATCAACCACAACCAATGAATTAGCTTCTGTTGCTTTTTCTAAAACTGAGAGTAATTCCTCATCTTTCTTGATTTCTCTCACGCATTCAACTGGACAAAGCTCCTCATCTTCATCAGACAACTCTTCTTCATCTCCATTACTCATAATACATTGGAGCGGATGATGATAATGATACTGAATCAATGGCAATTTCCTATTATTCTTCAATATGGAACTTGTAGTTAGAAGAGAAGAGGGAAAAGTCGAAGGATTCTTGAATTCTGTTTTCCCAATTTTGAATTTTGCACAAGTTAAGATGATTCGATGTTTATGTAGTGCAGAATGTATAGACCATGACATTTTGAATAGTTCTAACTTGGATACCCTTCACAATTCCACTTTTGATGTGCATAAACTGTAACAAGTGGCAATAAAACAATAAGTAACTGCGTTTGCCTAATTGCCTCTCGCTTTTATAACAATTTGTTCTGTTTATTTGGTAGAGAAGTTTCTTGATTCACGAATTCACAAAGCAATGAGAATTCATGAGAAGACAAACCTATTTGATATCACTCGATTGAAATGTATTCATAGACGTAATCCCCAAGCACAAATACAAATACGTTTTGGCTTAGATTTATTGGATTCCTTCTTCCTTCAGATTCAACTTGATTTACCTCGAGGAAATCTTCTCCGAGAGCCCTAAAATCAGATGACATTTTAGGTCAAAAACAAACAGCTACGACGCGCAGGCTTTTCTAAACTGACTATTTTAAACAGCATGGAGTGCAATCACGCAATAGGAATGAATGTAGCTTACGATTGCAGATGAACAGATTGAAGGAAGAAAAATGGATAAAAACATTATGTCGATTGCAATTCGAGAGGAATTAGACATGAAATAGTACCTGTAAGGTGAAGAATGGAGAGCAGTTGCGATGGCGGAAGAGTTTCGCTGATGAGAAAATGACACCACAAGGTAGAAGCCATAGCCGATTAGCCATATTACATTCACCACCACAAACTTCTGCTTGTCCTATCCACCACTCGCTCCATTATTCCAATTCCCACAGTTGAAAGTTGAAAGTTTGAATTTTTGTCACCCTGGTTTTTCTCTATTTACAATCTAGTCACTAGAGTTTTGAAGTTTATGATTGTGTCCAGAGATGTCAAACCTTGAAAAGAAAATAATTGGGTTCTATATAAATCTACTAATAAAGTGTATGACAAACTCATGCAATATTTTTATTTGATTCGTCAAAACAATGACCATAAATATAAAAATTCTAAATGCTTGTTAATCCTTTAGGCATGTAAAATAATATTTCTATATTTTTTATTGATTTTATATAACTTTTTGTAAATTGGTTTACGCGGTTTGTTAAAACATGTTAATTCAATACAATTATAAAAGATTTTATGAATTGGGTGCATGTGGTTTCAATTCTTGCATGGTCAATCCTTGTTGGCTTTTCTTTTCCAAAATTGGTCTAAAATTACTATTAATTAATTTATATTTATTTTTACTATTTTAAATTAAAACAAATACAACCCCATTTAATCTAATCCCCCTACCACCCTCCTTATTTCAGCTCCTCCCATCTTTTTTCCGCCCCTACCTACCTCTGTTAGAGAAGAAGTCACCACCCTTACCTTGCCCTCATCGCAAATCGATCCTTTAACTACCACCATCATATCGTTGATTCTCTGGTTACCATCACCATATCGATATCGAAGTCACCACCCTTAAGGGAAATGATTTAGGGCTCCACCTGCATCACCACACCCGACCTCATCCCCCCCCCTCTAAATATAACTTCATCTTCTCTTTAAAATCGTGTTTATGTGTGTTCTAGATTTGAAATAATTCAAGGTATGTATGTATGCGTATTTGAAATCCTATTTGTGTATGTGTTTTGGGATTGAATTTTGTCATACCCTCGTCCGACAGTGGAAACGTCGAGTTGTGCGACGTTAAGATGTTGGATCTGGAGGCAGGTATATTGAACAATACACACAACTATGACACATATATTTCTTTTTAATTATCATTAATAGCAAGAGGTTACATTGTTTGACATACAAACACACTTCCTAAACATATACTAGGCAATTAAGACTTCCTTCAGCCACTTGTTGACTTCCTTCAACACTTTACTGTTGCTGATATTCATTTCCCTGAGAATACATGAGTTTTGAAAACATCAAATTAATGTTGGTGAGTTCACATGTTTCTATAGTTTCATATTTTTAGAATAGTTTTATTATTTCCTTTAAAGGTGTCCATTCTTTATATCTTATTTTCCTAGGATAAATTACTCTTTTAGTATATATCCTATAACTTTTCTCATATATATATATATATATATATATATATATCCCTTTTTATTATCCTTTCATACTATGACTACTTTCATGGTGTTTTCTTTTAGGTAGTTTAATTAATTAAGGTTGGCGAACAATGTTACAATGAGTTCCTATAATCGCAAGACTATAAAGTTATGCTTGTCGGGGTTGTTGCTAACAACAGCAGGTGGGAGTGTCAATCCCGTATAGATCTATACATACCTTTAACGCTTACTTAAGATTAACGATTATAGGCATGGGGTTAGCTAAATTTAATCAAGCTAAAGGATGA